AAATATCTCCAAGTGGATTTGGGGAGCTCAGTCCAGTGTTCCAATGTGGGTCTCTGTCTCTATCTCCATCTGTAGCTGGACGGAGGTTCTCTGGTGATATTCAAGATAAACATCAGTATGACTATGGACAAGGCCAGTTTAGGCACCCTCTCCTTCATTGCCGAGAGTTCTAGCTGGGGACATCACCATGGACACCTGGGAACCCATCTGGAGTCAAGTGTCTTGCCAACCCCAAAATGGCTCACTTAGTTAAGATATCTTCTTGCCTGCACCCATATCTGTCGTTCCTACATCTTAAACATCCCACTTTTCCAAGCATTCTCCAACCCTCCATTCTCCCTTCTCTCCCCTTTCCCCATCACCCACTCCCATGATCCCAACTTTTGCCTGGCAATCTTGTCTGCTACCTATTTCCAGGAGGATCTATATATGTTTTTCTTTGGGTTTACCTTATTATTTAGCTTCTGTAGGATCATGAACTATTGGCTCAATGTCCTTTGTTTATGGCTAGAATCCACTTATGAGTGAGGATATACAATGTTCATATTTTTGGGTGTGTGTTGCCTCACTCAGGATAGTGCTTTCTTTTTCCAACCATTTGCATGTAAATTTCAATCTGTCCTTGTTTTTACTGCTGAATAATCCTCTATTGTGTAGACGTGCCACATTTTCTTTTTAAATTCTTCCATTGAGTGGCATATCTAGGTTGTTTCCAGGTTTTGACTATTACAAATAATACTGCTATAAACGTAGTTGAACAAACACTTTTGTTATATGATTGGGCATCTCGGGTATATTCTCAATAGTGGTATTGCTGGATCCTGAGGTAGGTTGATTACCAAATTTCTGAGAAACTGCCACACTGATTTCCAAAATGTTGTACAAGTTTGCATTCCCATCAGCAATGGTTGAGTGTTCCAGCAAAATCCACATAGGCTATCATTGGAGGTTTTGGTTTCATCCATTCTGACAGGTGTAAAATGGTATCTCAAAGTTGTTTTGATTTGCATTTCTGTTATTGCTAAGGAAGTTGAATATGACCTTAAGTATCTTTTGGCCATTTGAAATTCTGTTGAAAATTCTCTGTTCAGTTCAGTACCACATTTTTTAATTGGGCTATTTAGAATTTTTATGTTTAGTTTTCTGAGTTCATTATATATTTTGGAAAACAGACCTTTGTCTGATGTAGGGTTGGTGAAAATTTTCTCCATTTAGTGGGTTGCCTTTTTGTCTTAATTACTCTGTCCTTGCTTTACAGAAGCTTCTCAGTTTGTATTATTTTGTAATATTTTAGATTCTTTGTCAAAAACCACGTGTTCATAAATTTGTGGATTAATATCCAGGTTTTTAATTCCAATCCATTGGTAAATGTCTCTGTTTTTACGTCAATACCAAGCTGTATTCATTACTGTAGCTCTATAATAGCATTTGATGTTAGGGATGGTAATGCCACCTGAAGTTCCTTTATTGTATAGGATTATTTTTCCTGTCCTTGACTTTTCTTTTTCCTTATTTATATATTGATGTAGATATAAATTGCCATTTTTGCTATCCATTTTAGAAATTTTATTATTAATTTATTCGTAATTAGTGTTGGTATGTATTATTTTATAAGTATTTTTATTCTAAAATATCTATGTTTATTCATTACATATTTCACTTACTCAGTAGTGATTTTGTCCTCAATGCTCATGTCTAAAATCTGAAGAACAACCACATGAACATGGAATTTAAATCTGTCCACCTGATGCTTAGTATCTTACCAGGGATATGGCTGTGATCTACAAATACATTAAAACATGGAATTAATGATCAGGCACATTTTTTTTAGTCAGGCTGTCCCTCCCTTTCTGTGACATTAAATAAGCAAATAATACAATTGCAAAGAGTAAAAACACTATGACTATGTTTCCAAGAAGATAAAGAAAACCTAGTAATGGCAGATATTCCAGTACTCATATTTTTTCTGTCTATGACTTGCAATTATTCAAAACAAGAATCACATGTAAATAACAATAAGATATATGTAAAGACTCTCTTTTGCTTTTTAATGTTTTTTATTGCTTGTTTATATATTATTTACCTGATACCTTAAAAAGACACATCACTAACACAGGTAATTTCCTTAGGGGTTTATTTTATTTCATATGAATATATCATAGTTCCACTTTTTATTTTATCTTGTTTCCACTAAATCTAGACTTTTCTATGTAGCCTCCCAGAGAATGGGATCCCTAAAGTCAGAACATGCAGGATGAATCAATCCTGGTCCCACTGCCCCTGCACTTCAGTCTTCCCCAGTCATACAACTCTCCCTCTTATTCAGAGTGCTTAGTTTTGTCATATGCTAGTTCCTTCACTGTCAGAACAGAATTAATAGGCTACCATTAGCTCAGATAATCTGTTTCAGTGGGTATTCCCATCAAGACCTTGATTTCTTTGCTTGTATTCTTACTACTTCAGTTCTTCTACTGGACTGTAGGTATGGAGCCATGTGATCAACTGTGGATCTCTGCTTCTACTTCCATATTTTACTGGATTTAGGTTTTATGGTGACATTTAAGATAGTCCTCAATCTGACACAAGGCAAGGGATGTTCAAGTACCCTCTCCACTATTGCATCGGGACTTAGTTGTGGTCATCTGAAACATGATGGCCTGCTTGATGGGGATTGTGTCCTGCCAGGTTCCTGCAATCAAGTTCCAAAGAAAATCAAAGAGTTTTATATTAATCATAAACTGACTGGCCCAATAGCTCAGGCATCATATTAACTCTTATAACTTATATTAACCCATTTTTTTCTTATCTATGTTAGCCACATGGCTCAGTACCTTTTTCAGTAGGGCAGGTCACATCCTGCTTCTTTGGTGTCTGAACAGGACTGGGGAGATATGGGCTCCCTCATTCCCAGAATTTTGTCCTCCTCGACCCACCTCTTCTTCCTGTTTGATTGTCCTGTCTATACTTCCTGCCTGGATACTGTCCAATCAGTGTTTATTTAAAACATAATTGACAGAATTCAGAATTGTCCCACACAAGTATTCCTTGTGAATTCCTCCTATTCCAGGGTTTAGCTATTCCCATAAATTTCTTTCAATGAATAGAACTTTTTCTTTGCTCTCTTTTGCATTCCATCCCCAAACTTGGCAATCCTGATACTTCCAGTTCTTTCCTCTCCATTTCTTTCTTTGTCCTTACTTTCTGCATTCCATTTCACCGTACCCATATTTTCCCATTTTTTCATCATATTTGTCTTTTCCTCTTCCCAGGGTTATCAATTTTTTTATTAAAGTTCCCCTTAACTTACATTCTCTGTGTTCCTGAGCTATAGTTCCCTATTCTATGCTTTATAGTTGTTGTTCACCAATGATTTGGTACAAACCATCCTCATGATTCTGGTCTGAGTTTTTCACTTCAGATGAATTTTTATAGATTCATTCATTTGCCTGAAAATTTCAAAATGTCTTTGTTTTCACTGCTGAGTAGTTCTTTTTTTAACTAGACACTGAGTAGTTCTTCATAGTGAAAATGTGCTCACATTTTTTTTATCTATTTTTGGTCAATGGGCATGGATTTTCTTTCATGTTGTTCTTATTACATCAAACACTCAAGGATTATAGAGGGAGAACACAGACATTTGCGCATTTCTGGACATTATTATCTACAATTAAGAAAAGATAATTTAACATTGCTTTTTATACAGGACCATATCAAATTTGGTGAGTAAGAATAATACAATGATCTTTAAAGTGGTCAACTCTGTAGTCGGTGATTTATACTTATCTTAATTTTTAAGCCTTCATGGTTACATTGAATACTGAGAGAGTCAGGTAGCAGTCTCAGACAGGAATATTCTAATTTGGAAATTTGTAAACCTGCAATTCATTTTTAGAATATTGATTTTCCAAGCAGGCATGCTGGTATTATTCAATTTCAGGACATTAGAGAAGTGTGGTAACAGAAAGTTATCTGAGTATTCATGGTCAGTTAAGGTAGAATGGCACATTTCAGTCCCAGGAGGAAACCAATCTCAGTTATGCAAGTTTAAATAAATATCTGCATCAAACCACTCTTTTATTAATATGTAAGCACTTTTGCCCTAATCAATATCAAACAACTGGAAATAAATGTATAATTCTTGTAGTATATTCAGTACTCAAAAGCACAATATGCATAGAGGAAGGACAATGAAGCCAAACCCTTATTAGAGAAACTATTTGTAGTATTGAGCTACTGAGAAAGAAATTTAGAATTATTATCAATATAGCTTCCCAGATAGGGAAATCATATACCAATAGATGGTTTCTAATTAATGGTCCTACAACTTTCTTAAATATATTTAATATACATTAAAGATAGAAAAATTTTGTTTAGATTTAATAGTGATTATGAAATCTTGGGAAAAATTCTAGTATTTGGAATCTATTGAATTTTTAAAACAAATACACATAAATTTAATAAGAGAATATTTCATGCAAAATTATATATATTAATTACATATGATAAGAAACACTATGAAAGTTGCCTCTTGCAAAGGTGGGGGTGAATATATATATATGATGACTGTAATGAGTCAAACATAAATGTTAAGAATATCAATATATTTAAATTTTTTCCACAAATGAATTAACTTGAATTCATTTTTTTATCATTAAGACACAGTGGAATATGTTATTACAGTCAGGTGTATTTTCAATGGGACTTGAAATCAACATTTCTTCCTACAATCCATCCATCTCCTTATACAACACTCTAATGGACATAAATATATTAGGTATTGTAATTTAACTACATGAATCATTGTATTCATACCTTATATTAAAATATAAAACATATTACATGTATTATATAACACATAATTAATGATAATTCTATGGCATAAACAAACACACATAAAAAAAGATCAAAAAGAATCAGAAACAAAGTCACAATAAAAAACCAAAGATACAAATAAAGACTTTCATGTGTACAGCTAGCATCTAGGCAAAAGCAGCTGCATTGTTGCTGAGGCAACCAGTCATAATGAGCCAGGTTTGTCTGTTGTTAACTGGAGGCAAATCAAAGGAAAAATTCATTTTATCCTGGGTTCCCCTTTAAATGGCTCTGCTTCTTTTAATTATGCATAGGAAGGAGGGAGACACAGATGACACATCAGCTCTGAATGAGATCACCATGTAAAATGCAGTTCTGTGCTTTCCAGTCCTTCCTTTGAGAGCTCTCTTCTTATTGGTTCCTAGAAGACATAAAAAGGTCTGTACTGAGGGATTTTGCCAGCCAGGCTCCTGACTAAAGTCCAGCTTAACTGGACTTTAGTCAGGAGATTGGCTATAAACAAATTCAGAGAACAAAATCTGTTCTAGAGAGCTACAGGAGACAGAAGCAATAGATACCTCGTAAAAACAAAGAAATTCTGAGATTCTCCCTGCTTCTGATAAGAGCCACCTGTTCCTGTTGCAGTGCAGGGATTGTGCTTCAATCTATGGAGCCACTGCTTCAGCCTTAATATCTGTGATTTCTTGATTAGCCTTTGATTATGCATTTTCTGGAATCAAATTTTACTTTGGGATTCAATACCTGACAGAAACTGGGAATGTACTGATCATATGCACCATTGGAGGACCCACTATGATAATTGCTATGTTACAGAATAGCCTCAAGCATCTCAGATTCTGAAAATCTCAAGAGACAGAGTCCACAATCAGTGTGTTTAGGGAAGATGCCACGGCATTTCTGAATGTGATACCTGTAAGGGGCAATTGGCAGCGAAGAATAATAACGAGCAATCCGCAGGAAGAAATGCTGGATTTCAGAAAGATAGGCAGGATACAGACCCAAGAAGTGGGATATATGACCATCTCCTGATTACCGTGCAGTGGTTTCCCGTCTGATGATTGGATTCTGGTCTGAGGTAAACTGCATTTTTTTCCCTCTTATCCACTTTCTCTTTCATTTTTTCTACCTGAGAGTATTGTAATAGTTCTGCTTATTCATTGCCAGCTAGGCTAGAATGGCACATTACAATTAAAGGAGAAATCTAATCTCAGATATTCTAGCTCCAATAAACATCTGCATGAAACCAGTGTTTGATTAATATAAAAAAAAACACTTCCCCAATGAAATTTCAAAAACTGGAAATAAATGCCTTATTCTTGTCGTTTATCCAGTGCTCAGAAATCCTAGTAAGCCTAATGGCAGGACAAATGACACTGAATTCTTATTTAACGTATTTAACTAATTGAAAAGTTACAGTTATTTTCAGAGTGGCTTGCCATGAAATATGCTATGTTAAAATAGATGACTTGAAATTGGTGGACATCAAACTTCCTTAAATAAATTCTCTTGTTAAAGATTTATATATATATATATATATATATATATATATATATATGTATGTATATGTGTGTGTATTTCAGTTTTAATAGTGTCTATGAGATTTAGAGAGAACTTTTAGTATTTTAATCTACTTGTTTTTTTTAAATAAATAATTATGAATTATTATTTAGACAATATTTATGTATATCGATTGCATGAAAGGAACCAAAATATGAAGACAGCCTCATGCAAAGGCAAATGTGGAAATAACTATAAGCATTAAAACAAGCAAATACAAAGGTTAACAATTTAAAAATATTTAATTTTTTCCTGAAATCAATTAAACTAAATACATTTCTTTCTCATTAAGACATTATGGGCTACCATACGACAGTTGGGTCTATATGGGAGAGGGTTTCAAATATACATTTCATTCTACAATCCACTCACTTCCTTGTACAGCACCCTAATCCACTTAAATATATTATGTATTATAATTAAACTACATGAAAAATTATACTTGCAGTTCTTATTTGTATAAAATTTAAAATATCTTATTATATGTAACAAATTTAATTATAATTTGACTGCATAAAAAAACACACGTAAAAACAGACAAAAATCATAAAGAATCAGAAGTCAGATAAACTTGGCAGCACAGATTCACAACCAAAAATCTCCAGACAGGAATGGAGGCTTTCGTGTATGTAGGTAGATTCGAGGCAAAAGCAGCTGCCAGCTCGCTCAACCTGTCACATTTTGCCAAGTTTTGTCTGCTGTTCACTGTAAGCAAACTGTAGGGTAAATTACATTTCATCCTGGGTTCCCCTGTCAATTGCTCGGCTTCTTTTTACAATACACGCTAAGGAGGGAGACACACAGGACTCATCAGTTCTGGATGAGATCATCAAGTTAAATGTAGTCCTGTGCTTTCTGGTCCTTGATTAGAGATCTCTCTTCTTATTGGTTCTTACAATGCTTAAAAAGGTCTTCACTGAGGGATTTTCCCAGTGGGGCTTTGACTAAAGTCCTGCTAAAAACTGGACTTTAGTCAAGGCCTCGCTGTAAAGAACACCAGAGATGAAAATGTGCCCCAGAGACCTGAAGGATACAAAAGCTTTAGGAAAAGCAAGGAATTTGTGAGAAGAGTCACCCGTTTCTGTTTGCAGTGCAGGAAATGTACTCTAATCTGAAGCCACTGATTCAGCCGTAAAATCTGCGATTCCTAGGTTATCTTTGGATTATGAATTTTCTGAAATGATGATTTTCTTAGTAAGTCTATACATGACAATACTGGAATGTACTGATCTTATGCCCCATTGGAGGCCTCAGTAAGATAATTGCTATGTTGGCAAATAGCCTGCGGTACCTGGGAACCTGAAAATTTAAAGTATAAGCTTCCCCAATAAGTGTTTAGGAACTACGACATGGCTTTTCTGAATGTGATCCCAGTAAGCTGCAATTGCAGCACAGTATAACAATCAGCCACCCGCAGGGAGGAATGTAAAACTTCAGGTAGACAGGCAGGATACAGACCCAAGAAGTCCGATATGTTCACCTCCTATTTTTCTTCACAATATTTCCTTTTTGATATTTGGATTCTGGTCCTTGGTAAACTGCATTATTTCCTGCCATCTACTTTCACTTTCATATTTTTCTGTCGCAGCAAACAATGAGAAGGGAGGGAGAAATGAGTCAGCAGCTCTGATGCGGATCTCCATGGTTACCACAGGCTTTGTTCCTATTGGTGGAATTCAGATCATTCTTCTCATTGTTTGGGGAAAATTTGAATTCACACAGTACTTCAGTCAGAGGCAAGGAAAGCTAATAATATCGTCAGCATAGAGGGTCATTCCTAGTCAGGCTCTGGCTATATGCCTGCTCTCAGCTGCAAATATTTATAACTGAAATCTGAATGTACATTGGCCCAGACATAGCATACTGTTCTTGACAACTATTTGAGAATAACATCAGAGTAATTAGCAGTCAGGTAGTAGTCCATTCTCAGTATCACAGCTCAGTGTCACCTGGTATGGTCTGTGCATCCTGCCCATCCCTGCTTCTGAAACTTCTCCTTCTCTTTAAACCTTTGGCACTATTATCTCTGTCTTGGACACTGGTATCTGCAAAGAAATAATACCCTTAATGTTTTAGTATATGGCAGTGTCAAGGGGAGTCATACCCTTTCCTCTTTTTTCTGAGTTTCATTGTGAAAACTGATATGACATTGCATTTTTTCATGAAAAGAGAATCATTGAACATATTATACAGTAACATATGAAAGCACTATGCTACCTGTCACCAAAGACTCTGAATAGAATAAAATATACAAGAGGAATCCTACTTCTTGTCATCCTATTGCTTTTAAGTTTCCCACAGTCACAAATTTGCTGTTTTGATTGACATAGTCTTTCTGTATTTGCTTATAAATACTCTTGTGCATGATTCCAGTGTTTATTGATGATGGCAACGAGGTATTACATACTTCCCTTGAAAATAATTAACACAATAGATATTATTGTTATTGTGTGTCTTGTTTTATATGCTTTAAAAAAGTACTGAACTTATCTTTTATGTCATCACAGACTCTAAGTGTGTATGTCTGCTAGTAATTTTGAGACTGGGAAACATTGGTACTTTGGAATCTAAAGCCTCCATTTCAATCTGTTACAATATTTCCGCCATCTTTAAAATATATGTGTAAGAGACTTCCAGGTAAATTTTAAAGACTTGAAACACCATAACACAGGACCATACAGGCTCTTAATTTTTATAGAAAAAACTTCCCTGCACATCATCATGTTGTTGTCCAACTAGGGACAAAGTAAAATCTCTGATGAGGCTCAAATGATGCTAAGATGCTAATGATATATGAGCATATCATTATTTCAGTAGAGTCTGGTAGAAAAACATGTCTTATTTTAATGTAAGTCTGTCATCATCGTAGACGTAGATTCCTAGCCATTAAGGCTGTTCGAGTTGTACCTTTCATCATATAGTCTTAATCACAATATTTACTTGATTTCTTAATATTTTCACCATTATGACAAATATATATATATGAAGACTTCTTACTCTTTTTGTTTTCAAGCATATAGCTAATGAGAATGCAGAATTTTGATCATGCTTATTTCAGTATTAATCTTCAATTATAGCCCAGTAGGTAATCCCATTTAATTTACTAATAATATTGGAAGTATTGACATTCTATGATGATGAAAGTATCATCATTCAAAACATTCAAAACAGGTTCTTTCCACCATTCTGGCAGTTGTAAGCATATTTTTGAAATTGTCTGTGAATCTCTAGTTTTGATTTATAGTCATGACTTTGGCCAATAAACAAATGTAATAACACATCTACTTGAATCTGAGTGAGAAAATCTGATAACCCGCATACTATAAGAAGTTCAGTTTTACAATCTCTCTCCTAATATACTATGAAGCACCTTAATTACTTTCTAATATTTATATAATTTTATGTATATCTACATGTATGAAATTGATTATACATAATTATAGTTATACACACATATGCATGCAAGTGTATACTTTCTTCACACAATTTAGAATTTCCTACATGAGTACTCTATGTTATTTCATGCTCATTTTTCCTCCTTTAAAATGATGTTTATATTAAAATTATAAAAATAAATCCTACCACTAAACAAAATAATTATATTTTATTCTGTGATACAATTACATACATGGTTATTCCTACTGAGTAAATACTGTTGTGATTTTGTGTAACCAATTTAGCATTGATCTTTTCTAATTTAAAGGCCTATCAATATAACTACACAGAAAAAAAATGATCCTTTTATTCTTAGGCTCCAATATTTTTCAGTGGCTTTTTTTCTAAGAGTGTTACTTTTAGAGACTTTTCTACATGTTTTGACTTTTCAGTAGGGGATTTAACTTTTATATATTTATTTTTATTAATTTATAAAAAATTTCCACTTCCTCCCCTCCTCCCAATACCCTCCCACTCCCCTCACTCCCTCTCCAGTCCTAAGAGCAGTCAGGGTTTCCTGCCCTGTGGGAAGTTCAAGTTCCTCCTCTCTCCTTCTGGGTCTAGGAAGGTGATCATCCAAACAGACTAGGATCCCAAAAAGCCAGTACATGGAGACGAAACAAGACCGAGTGCCAATATCAATGGCTTCTCAGACAGTCCCCATGTCAGCCACATTCAGGGAATCTAGTTTGAGTACCAGTCTAGCTGGCCTTGGTGAACTCTCATTAGATCAGTCCCCTTGTGTCAATGCGAGGACGTACCCCTCAAGGTCCTGACTTCCTTGTTCATGTTCTCCCTCCTTCTGCTCCTCATTTGGACCTTGGGGGCTCAGTCCAGTGCTCCAATGTGGGTCTCTGTCTTAATCTCCATCCATCAACGGGTGAAGGTTCCCTCTGATCCTGACTTCCTTGCTCACATTCTCCCTCCTTCTGCTTCTCATTTGGAACTAGAGAGTTAAGTCCAGTGTTCCAATGTGGGTCTCTGTCTCTATCTCCATCCATCGCCAGATGAAGGTTCTATGGTGATGTGCAAATTATTCATCAGTATGGTTATAGGCCAAGGCCAGTTCAGACACCCTCTCCT